CTTCTTTTAGTAGTTAATTTACTGTGAATAAGTTAAAGTTCTTGCTCTCTATAAATTCTTTAGCTAATTTGCTTTTAAGAAAATTAATTATTTCAGGGTCTGCTATTTCTAAGTTATTTGAGTTTCTGAGTATCTCCTAGAATTCAAATCCTAATTTTCTTATGTTTCTAATAATGTTGTATATCAAATTATTCTTTATTTTGCTTATGCTGAACTTGTATCTCTTATCTAATAAACTAAATTTGAACTTGTATTTTAATTGCACATCTTTTAATTTGAGCTTTATTGTAATGCCTATTTCATCATCTTAGTTTAAACATAGAGTTAGTTCTGTAAAGTAATATACTAGCTAATTTTGCTATATCGATCTGAGCTCTAGAAGTCTATTGTGACTACATATACTGTTAGCTGCTGATTTTGTAAGCTCAAGTTTGTTCTTTATCAGTAACCAAACTGGTCTTTGTATCTAATTATATTTTGTTTTAGATAAAAATAAAGTTTGCAATCTATACTCAATATATGGTAATAATATACTATTATTTAAGTATATAAGTTGACTTATGGATGCTCTTTTGAATCTTATCTCTTTGCATATTTTTGTAACTTCCTTTGTTATAATCTTTATATTGCATTCACTATTTTTTTTTCTAAGATCTAGACTCCTAGGTGTCTGATTGCTTCTGTACTTTATTTTGTATATACTGTATCTTTGTTTTTCCTAACTTTAATAGAGAAATCTGAGCTACTATTACTAGACATTTGCTTGTGATTTATTACTAGTAACTCTGATTTCTTCTTGTTAATTTTTATTTTTTTTTTTGTTAATTAAGGCTACTTTCTTGGCCGATTGGATTTTATTAATTTGCTATTACAGAGTTACTGTAGTAGTAATCTCCTAAGGTTTTACAGTTATATAATAAGTGTACAATAAGTCATATGTATAACTTTAGTTATTATCTAATTTAAGTAGTCCGCTATACAGACGATCGACCATCTGTTGGTTCTATACTATACTGTCATACCTGCAACATGCCTGTGAGTTACCTATTTAAATACTCTGATCATTAACTCTTCCCCCTATTCAAACTAACATCACCTCTATATCTGACTACTTAAGCCAGCTAACTTACTCAGAGATCTATTTACCGCATGACTTAGGTCCTCTCAAGATGCATATTGCCCAACGTATTGTAAGCATACAGAGCTCCAGTTAACCTTAGAAGCGATTCCTACTAGCATGGTCATGTGCCCATTTCACTGATTCACCTGAATTGAATTCTTGTTAATGTTCATACAACCCCAGTTCCTACTATAGCTCTCCACTAGTTTTCTGTGTCTATCTTCTTGGATGTTTCATAAGGCAGATCCTCTCAATCTAGTTAGCTGCCAAGCCAGGTTAGTGTTACTGATCCTTTCTGTAGAACGGATTTATGCGCACCTGACTTGATCTGCATCTTTGACAATAGTTTCCTTTCTGAATTAAGCATAAGCTGGTGTGACTGTTGAAAGCTATACTATTTTACTAACTCGGGATTTTTACTATACAGGTCCCCTGCCTGTAGATTATTCATATATGCATATTATCCTGTGATTAACTGCTACCACACTAATATTTTTTCCTATCAAGATTTATTCGTATGTGCATATTATTCTGTGATTAATTGCTACTATACTACCAATGTCCGATTGACTTGGTGCAACTTAACTTACAGAGTTACAACCCCAGAAATAGATAGAGTTTACCATAAGTTAGGTACAAAGGTCCGAGTAATTATTCAAATTCATTGACAGTGGGATTTGAACCCCAGACCTTTTGTATGACGGTCTGGTAACCTAACTATTATACTAAGATTACCAAACCTTTCTTATTAATTTTTATATTATTTTGTTCATAGAATTTATTTGCTATTTCAATAATTTCTACTAGTTCTTTTTTTGATTTAGCAATTCACATCATATCATAACATATGCTAAAACATTTTGCTTCCAACTATTTTTTTGTGTTTTGTTGAAACTGAGGTCTACTAGCTATTCTAGACTAATTTTATATTTTAGTTTCCTTTTGCTTTAAATTATACAGAGTAATAGGTCATAAAAAATACGCTATAGCAATAGATACTACTTCACTTTGATCTAGACTATCTTCTGCTAAAAACTTCTGAGTTAGTCTATATCTAGTTATGACTTTTATTTTTCTTGTGTCGAATAAACTTAGCAAAAATTTTGTTGTACTAGCAGGAATTTTGATTCTTTTAAGTACTTTTTCTAATATAACTAGGCTAACTGAATTAAAAGCTTTCTTTATATCTTTGAAAAGTATTCAGATTTCTTTATTTTTTTTATACATTTTTTTGGGTTCTATATCAGAATTCTGACACACAAAATCCTAATACACAAAATACTGACAACAAAATCTTAACATTCAAAATCCTAACAAATTAAAATCTAGACAAATCAAAATCTTGACATTCAAAATCTTGACAGGATCAAAATCCTGACAAAGTTAGCCAGAATTAGTTTTAAAGTTGGCTGGTTTTTTCAGGATTTTAATTCTGTCAAGATTTTGAATGTCAGGATTTTGATTTGTCTAAATTTTAATTTGTTAGGATTTTGAATGTCAGGATTTTGTTATCAGTATTTTGTGTGTTGGTATTTTGTGTGTCAGAATTCTGATATAGAACCATTTTTTTGATAAGATTATTCATTATATGAATAGAGCTATCTGTATTATAGCTTGATAAACTTACATAATTTGAACCTTTCAAAATATTAAACTTTGCTAATATTTGGTTTAATCTCTTGTCTATTACTTGTACTACTACTTTTTAGAATAGTTCAAGAAGAACAATTAGTCTAACATTTGATAAATTATAGTTCTAATTCTCTTCCTTCAGTATTAGATATAATTAACTAATTTTCTATTTAATAGAAATATTTTCTTTTTTTATATATTTTTTTGCAAGTATTAAGAAGATCTTTTGTACTAAATCACCTACTTTTTTAACTATAGAGTAGCTAATTCCTGATATGCCTGAAGCTAATTTGAACTTAACATCTCTAAGAACTTCTTGCTATTCTTGTAGTAGTATTTTCTTATCTAAAGATTCATATATACTCTCGTTAAACTTCTCTATAGGCTTATATACTTGGCTCTACTTTTAGTTCATTTTCTAGTATCTATATTGCATTTTTGAAATTGCTTTATAAAGTATGCTTTTATTTCTTCTTGAATTTCCTTCTCTTCTGTAAGAAGTAAAAAATCTGTTTCATTCTCTACTCTAACTCTATTAATCTTAATTCTGCTACTTAAGTCTTTTTTTTTTTCTTTTATATTGCACTTTAGTGTATATGATCTTCTACTATGTTTTGAGTTTCTTAACCTTTTCCTTAGTCTACTTTACTTCTGTTAGTTCTTCTATTATTAGATCTATTTTTCATTAATTTTATTGATTATACCTAATCATTTTTCTTTTGCTTCTATCTCAATAGACTTTCCTTGTTCTTCTAAACATAAGTGACATAATTTGCCTATTCTCCTTAGATCTTTAAGAATTTTAGTACTATCATTGCTAGCTTTCAGAAGGAAAGATCTTATATATACTTTCTTTTTTGGTAATATTTTTATATACTCTTTAAGATACAGTTTGAAATAGTATCTCACAGCTCATCAAGACTACTTCTTTTGTAGAATTCTTCTATAGACAGTTCTTGAATATATGTAGCATAGTTCTTTTTTAGTATTTTATTTAGACTTCTTCTATAGGCTTCTACTCTTTACTAGTCACTTTTTCAAGATTATAGATATATTTTTTCCTTTTGTTCTCTTGTTACTTGCTGCTAATCTATTGTGTTAGCTGAAGCCTGTAATAAATTGAGCAGATACAATCTTGTAATTACTGCCTGTAATACAATCTGCTTCTATAATTTTGCATTTTATTAAGCCCTGAAATAAGTTTTTCAAAGCTCAGATATAGTTTATTCTTATACTTGATTTTCTATTTAATTATGTGAATTCTTTTTTATATAAATAAATTTTTTTAAATACATCTTTGAAAGTAGAGCTTTCTAACTAAGCTAAAAGTAGAAGTGTTTGTTTTCTTTTAGATTCTTTGTTATTTTGATCCAAAAGATTAGAACAAATATCATTAAAGTTACTCATTATAATGACTTTAGTGTTTCTTCTCTTATATTCTCAGATCTTTCTAATGATATGTTGTTAAAAAAGTTTCATAATTTCTTAGTTATTAAGTAGAATATATACTATAATGACTAGTATTTTAACCAGTTTGAAAACTAGCAAAATGTCTATATAATAATTACTGTATCTCAATATTTTGCCAATATGCTTTTCTTATATTTTGCTTATTAGTAGTCCTACTCTAGAGCCTTTTGCCTTATTCTCTTCTGCTGAAGTCTAAAAGCTTAGAAAACTAGACTCATTCTTCAAAACAAATTTTTTTTGTTGTTTACTTATGTTCAACTCATTTATACCTAAAATATTAATTTTTTGCTCTTTTGCCTATTCTGCTAGTAGCTTTAACTTTGTATTTTTACTTTTATCCTATTGATATTGTATATTGCTATACTAAGTATCCTAAAGTTTGTGTTTAATTCTTGATTTGCTAATCTTTTTATCTGATTGCTATTTCCCATTATAATACTAATTTGATATTGGTTTTTAATCTTCTTTACCTTTTGCTAGTTTCTAAGTTTTCCTTCTTAAGAAATTTAGACTTTCTGTAATTCAACTAGTATGACAAATTAGAAGTGATCAGGAGTTTTATAACTCTTGTATCTGTATTTAGCTCTCAATAACTGCTTTTCCTTTTCTGCAAGTACTAGCAATCTCTTTAGAATCTTTTTTATATTTAAACTACAACTTCTATATCTTGATCTTTCTTTTATATCTAACTGCTACCTTTTTCTACTTCTTCTTCTATATTTGTTTAGTTTGCTTGCACTACTTTGATCTAAAAAATCAAAGCAATAATCTTCTATATCTAAGAGTAAGTTTGTTTCAGATTTCTTTTCTTTTTCATTTCTATAGCTACAATATCTAGTATAATTATCATGTATTGTTAACTCATCTTCTTTCAGCTCTATCTCTTTATATATATACTTAGAGCATTCTTCACTTGGGTTTTGTTCAACTTTTCTTTTCTTAAGGCTTTTTGAACTTGTTCTTTGTAGTATACTTGATGCTTTTATACTCACTTCAGTAGCCACCTTATCTTCTGAATTATTGCTTCTTATTGTGTTCCACTTCAGTTTGTCATTATAATACATATAACTCTAGTTATACTGACAGCTAGTTTAACTGACAATTGGTATATCGACACTTTTTTTTAAAAAAAAACTACTATTTTAAAATTTTGCTAGTTATACTGACAACAATAAGAAACATTAACTATATCGACATACTGACAATTTTAGCATCAAAAAATTATTTAATTTAATTTTTTTTGCTGGTTATAGTGACAAACTTGTTACTATACTAGAAATAAAATAATTAAAATCTGATGCTATATCGATATATTTTCAGATTTAGAACCTATATTAAGTTACAATGTAAAAGATCTCATTTATATCTTTGTTATATTTGTTATATAATTAAATGCAAGATAGCAGGATTCAGCATAACGTAAGAAAGTTTAGATACAAATTTCTCTTCTTATATATGAAAAGATATTATTCATACTCGCTATAATAGCTGTTCTTTCATTTAATCTATCAATAGAATATTGTTAAATAATTATACAGTATAATCAGTTATAAAACAAGAAACTAATTAAATTATACTTATTTTGAATATACGTATATACCTGCTTATGCGACATTAATTAAATACTTAATTTGGTTTTAAACTAAAATTCTAGCTTGCACAATAAATTATACTTATCTTGATACCTATTCATACGATGTTAAATCTATATCTGATTTGGTTAAATTAACTATTACTATACTACCAGTACTTGTTCAAACTTAGAATTTCAGCTTGCGCAATAAATTAATCTTGTTAAAACTAGAATTTTGGCTTGCGCAATAAATTATATTTATCTTGATACTTATTCATACGTACGATATTAATTATATATCTGATTTAGTTAAATTGACTATATTACACGTACTAGTATTTGTTCAAACTAAAATTTTGGCTTGCACAATCTGACAAGTTACTTCTGGTATACCTTTACCTGTATTTTATACAAATTTTAATTTGATAAGATATTCTCATATAATTTATTTATTATATTTAGTCAATAATTATATTAGAGAAGATTAGTACAATTAAAGTCAGTTTTAAAGTCCTTATACATAGCTATTTTACTAAATTTATAAAGTAATTATATCATTACTATTTAACTCTAATAGGATAAAAAGTATAAATATTTATTAAAGAATAAAAAAAGTTTTATAAGATTAATAATAAAAAATAATATATAAATATACGAAAAAATAAAATTAGTTTTGCTAGTAACAATATGTCTGATAATGAAATTATCTCTGCTAAATGCAAAAATAATGCTAAAAAAACAGTATTAAAAAAACTTCAAAAAATATTAAGTGGCAAGCAAAAAAAAGAATTATGCCAATTAGCACAAAATAATCCAAATTTTACACATCAAGAATTAGCCAAAAAATTTGAAATTGGTCAGTCAACAGTAACAGATATTCTTGCAAAGTCATCTTATTGGCTTAATTTGAATGAAGAAAGTATTACTGCATAACAAAAATGAAACAGATTACCTGATCATCCACAATTAGAAGAAATTCTTGCATGTTAGTTTGATCTTGCATTAGAAAACTATATAACTATAACAGGTTTAATCTTACAAGAAAAGGCAAAACAAATTGCAAATACTTTAGATATTCAAAATTTTGCTACTTCTAATGGGTGGTTACAAGGCTTTAAAAAATGATATCATATAGTTTATACTACACAAAGTGATGAGGCTGCAAGTGCTCCAGTTGAAAAATTGCCAGAATTTCGTCTATCTTTACAAAATGATATAGTAAATTATGATTTTGTAGATGTTTATAATTGCGATGAGACAGCACTTTATTGGCTCTTAGAACCTTCAAAATCACTTACTCATGGTCATATTGCAGGTATTAAAAAGCCAAAAAACCAGGTTACAATAATGTTAACATGTAATACAGTTGGTGATAAGTTGCTTCTAGTTTTTATCTATAAATTTGAAAATCTACATGCAATAAGAGGAATAAAAAAATCATCTTTACCTGTTAAATATTATTGGAACAAAAAGGCCTAGATGCAAATTTCGATTTTTCAAAACTAGTTAATTCAATTAGATAATCATATGCATCTTGCTCATTGAAAAATTCTTTTACTTGTAGATAATTGTTCAGCACATTCTATTGAAGGTTTAAATTTAAGTAATATTAAAGTAGTTTTTCTTCCAAAAAATACTACAGCATGGTTACAACTATGTAACACTGGAATTATCTACTCATTTAAGGTTAGCATTATCATTACGTATTAATAAAATTTTTTTAAAATTTTTAATTAATAATATTTATATAATTTAGTGTTACTATCATAAGCTATTATTACAAAACCGAATTGCTGTATTTGATGAAACAAATCTAACTAATGAACTTCCAGATCCTGTTACAATTTATGATGCAATTCAGTTTGTTGTACAAGCATGGAATAATGTTTCTGAAAATACAATTATTCATTTATGGCAAAAAACTGGTATTATTCCTTTAATAGAAATTGATAAATATTTGAATACAGAAGTTTCAGCTAAAATAAATAATGATAATGAGGAAACTGAATTAGAAAACCTTATTTCACAATTTTAAGATTTAAAAAATCCTAAAAATCCTAAATATTTAAACATTTCTATACAAGAGTTTATTAAAATTGATAATAACTATGCAACAGGTGAAATGCCTACAATCGAAGAGGTTATAGAAGAAATGCAAGAAAATGAATCTGAAGAAGAAGAACCAAAAAAGCAAACCTCTATTATACCAACTCAAGCTATTACTGGAATAGACTCAGTATTGGATTATATTGAACAGCTTGAATCAAATTTTAAAATTGATATTAAAGTTTTTGCTGAACTTAAATGGATGCGAAAAGAGCTTGCTTATTTAACAAAAAAAAATTCAAAGCAAACAAACTTGAATTCATTTTTTTGTTAAAGAATAAATAAATCAGAATTAGTAAGTATAAATAAATTAAATCGTAGGTATAATAAGCAAATACTGTTATATTAAATAATGTTTTATAAAATCTAATTTGTTTTAAATTCAGTGCAAAGCAAATAAACATTCTAAATATATATATTTATATTATTATCATTATTATCAAATTATTCAAACAATGCCAAGTTATATTTTTACTGTTTTTAATAAAGGCTACTCTCAAGCACCCTTAATCAGCTATAATACTAATAATTATGAAGTGTATAGTTTTATTGTAGTACTAAAGAATAAATTGAACCCAAAATCTTAAATCTGATTAATATACGGGTTTTTTCTCATGACATTATTACCAGTTTATATAATGCTAATTTTAGAGATTAGCTAAAGTGGAATTAACCAAAAATTAATACTTTTTTTTTTTTTACGAATGCTGCTAGTTATGCTATCAAGTTTGTCTGTGTAGTATTGGCAAGTAGTTCAATGACCAGCATATATTATGCATGTAGAAATATAAAAATATCAGATTTCTGAGACAGGAGAATTAGTTGCAGATACAATTTACCCTTCGCAGCTATTTTTTTTATTTGCGATTTAATTCTTGTATGTAGTTATTTTTAGTATCTACCTTATCAAAAAAAAAACCTTTTTTGAATGATAAATTTCAATCTGCGCAACTTTAAAAAAAATTTGTGATCGTGATAAACATATCAAAAAGATGCTTCGAACAAACTTCTTGGTTGAATTTGGTTTATTTTTAATCGGTTTTATTTCTTGAATTTGCAACTAGTTTTAACCAAAATAGTTAGTAGCAAGGTTGAAATGTATGATTGCTGCAAAAAACTATTAGCGTTAGATAAATTTTGCAGGTTTTTTTTTTATACAGTAACTCTTATTAAAAATAAATTATAGCTAATAAAAACTAAGGTGCTTGCTAAACTGACATATTTACCTATTATCTATATGATGTCAGTATAAAAAGAGATACTTGTTAATCCAACATAGAGATATATTAACAATTTTTTTATTGCTAAAGAGTGTCAGTATAACCAGAGTTACGTGTAGTATACCAAGAACCTTGAGCTATTTAACAGATTTTTTTTATTAGCAAAATAGACTGTTGTACTTCTTTTGTTATTATTGTTAGTATTTCTAAATATATGTAAAGCTCTAGCTTCTGTTTATCTTACTTGTCTCCACAGAACTACTTCATTTGCTTCTTTAGGAAGATCTAAGATTTTACTAGAAAATCTACTTCAAGTCTTAAGAAGCTCTATATTATTTTTTCTTAGAGTAATTCTTAATAAACAATTACTCAGGAAAGAGTATCTTGAAGGTCTTCTATGAATATTATATTTGATACAAATTTGACTTCTACATATATTTTTCTATAAACTTCTCTAATTATTTTAATATAACTAACTCTTCTAAGGTAACATATAGATTTAAAAATATGTACTTTTTTTATCTACTTTGGAAGGTCCTATACTGTGATTGAGTTTACTTTTGTTATTTCTTTAGTTTTTTTTTCTATTACTTTTACTGACTAAATAGTTAGCTTTTCTTTCGAAGCTGAGTTTTGTTTTGTCTCTTGTACAGTCTGCTTTCCTTTTAGTTTCAATAAGCTTATCACTACTGATTTATCTAGTATACTTTTACTCTCTCTTTATATTTTGTAATCATCAAAAATTAAATTGTACTATTCAATCTCTTTTTTCTTGAGTTTTTCTTTCAAGATATTTAGGCCTTTAAAACAGTTAAATTAGATAATTATCTAACTGTTTTAGTTCTCAAAATATTCTGTAATTTCACTAATATGATTACTTTTATATAGTATTCTCTTTATAAACTTGATATATTCATCTTTTGTTTCTTCTAAGAGAGAGATAGCAACTATTTTTGCTCTGAATTCTCCTGTTTTCTTACAGGTGTTTTCATTAGATACCTATAAACTGTCTTCATGTGAAGTTCATAAGGCTCCTTATAATTCACTATAGCATATTCTAGTTGCTTTTTCTAGTACTCTTTTGAATTGTTAATTTCCTTTTATAAAGTTCCAAGTAGAGCAGTTTTTATATCTTCAAATACTATATCTTTTGTTTGTATTGCTAGATCTACAACCTCATCCTTTATTCCTTAGATTGTAGGCTGAGGCAGGCAAATTTGCCTGCGTTTTTGCATTCATTCAGCTCTGATTTGCTTTTTTAAAATGCAAAAATATTAAAAAAAGAATTATAGATAAT